CGGCCTCTTCACATTTCGCGTCTTCCTTGACTAAGCTTTAATTTTCAGTCCATATTTCTCTTACTCAGCTGAAATTTGACCGGATTTATCGAGGTATTTTCAGGGAGTCTGGGCGAAGGTGTTACATTGCGTTAATAAGTTCCGTTTACCAAACTGGTAAATTCACACATCAAATACAAAAGATATACGTCGTTGGGCAGGTGCAATAATCGGCAGTCACTTTAGAATGATAAGTTCAATTCTTTTCCACCATGTTCACAGTAAGTGTTGCACCGTTTTCAGTAATTTTATATTCCTATGTACTTTTGCAATACCACGATGTTTGCTTTAATTTCCTTTTTTGCCAAGGATCGATTTTAAAACTTCATACGCGTCCGATCATGTAATCAAGTCCGAAGTTTTATAACGATACAACACAACATCCAGAAAGATGAAAATGTCATACCGTATTTCATAATCTACCGACCTAATAACCAAAGAGCTAACATTGTCACGGACAGGGCTGATTAATTCGTCAAAAGCGCTGTCACTTTACAAGCTGCTTCAATTTGTTGGATGTCTAGTGATATAGCAAACATTAAAAAACTGAAAAGAAGATAAAAAAACAACTTAAAAAATAGTCATTCTTCAGCAGAGTGAAAAAAAAAAACAAGTTTCAAGTTTTTAGTAAACGAGAGTGCTGCTTGTAAATATCAGTTTTATTTCCTTCTGTCCTGGCGAAATGACCAAACGCGATTGTTTAATTTTCAATCTAGGACATGGACGTTTGAAATAGCTCAGTAAATTTATTCTAAAACATTTAATAGATAGCTTATGTTAAATTGTATGTAATATAACACAGCAGAATACTGACCGTTTGCCAGGAGCAAAAAAGTTGCTATTGTCTGCCTCCCAGTGTTTTGACCAAGCGCCATGTTACTCCCGCCGAACTGTAAATTGAACCGGGCGATACTTATAACTGAAACTTCCTTTATTAGTAGACCTAATTGCTATCAGCCAATGAGCTGACCGGAGAGATATGAAAATTATCCAACGTTGAAGATGATCCAATTTCCAATATTTCATATTTCTATAAACAGCTTTTCGTAAATGCATGGTAAAATCAATTAGGTGGCAAGATGAAGATACGAAAAATAAACACAGGTGGCCGAAAATTATTGCCCTCTAATGAAAATTTCTTTCAGATCATAGAAACAATCATCAACAAAAGGTGTTACTCTAGTCAAGTTGATTTTCTTGAAGTTCCAATCAGAATTTTGGCTAAACTATGACTAAATAGCCAAGTTTCGCAAACTAATAAACTTGCCACAAAAGGGTTTTTTTGGTTAGGAAATAATTATGTTTACTTTTTGCGATTGGGTTACAGTTGTTGTATTTTTAATGCTAAAAAAGTACCTTCTGTAACATCGATATGATAACACGTCGTTTATACTGTTTTCCATGAAACATAACGTTATGAACAGTAACGATGCAATATTATAGCGGAGAAGTTTCTTCTCTGATGTTCCGTCGGATATTTGCTGTAGCGTTAAATATTAGTTAAAATTAAATGTACCTATTTTATAAGAAAAACAAAAAAATTAATTCGCTCTCGCTCTAATTATAGCTTATCTGGGACGAAACTTTATTCATTGAAAGCGTCACACGGCATAATGCTCCTTTAGAACTCGACGTTACCTCCGTGAACAAAAGATTTCAACGGCAGCTTGCAACAGGGTATCCACCATTTCCATCGATTTGTAAACTTAATTTCACCATCTATTACTCGGTGCTACTTGGAGAGCAAGGGATGGCGCAGTGGTGAGAGCACTCGCCTCCCACCAATGTGGCTCGGGTTCAAATCCCAGCGTCGACGCCATATGTGGGTTGAGTTTGTTGTTGGTTCTCTCCTTTGCTCCGAGAGGTTTTTCTCCGGGTACTCCGGTTTTCCCGTCTCCTCAAAAACCAACATTTTCAAATTCCAATTCGATCAGGAATCAGGTAGACGAAGAACCACTTTGTGGATGTGCTACCTCCAAATCATTATTTATTTATTTATTTTATTATTTTACTTGTCTCTTCCAACCACAAAGGCCTCAAAATCGGATTTCGAATTGCAGACAGAATGATTACCATAACGGAAGGCCCATGTTCATTAAAATAGCTTTTCGCCCATGGTGTTTTTATTTAAAAACTCTTCTTTCAGCCTTGATCTATCAGCTCCACGCACGAATGTCATCCGTCGATCTTTTATTCATTTCAATACCTCACTGATTTTCCTGGCTGGGTTTATTTTCACCCTAACTAATCAATATCCCCTCTTTTCTCCTTAAGTTTGGTTTATCTGACTGAAGCCTGAGGCGATACTTAAGGCCTTATTTTCATGAACAAAAACAGTTCATTAGTTACGTTATTAAGCACATCGCCGCGTCTCCTAACAGTCTATAAATGAAGACAAGAAGGCTCTTAGCGATTTCAAGAGCTTACATTTTAGTTATCAGATACCAATATACAGTCAAAACACATTTCGACATCAAGGATATTACATTGGGCGTGTTTTGGTTTTAATTAGTCCATTCATAGTGACGCGATCGGCGGTGATGTTTCTAATTTCGGCTGCGTTTAATACGAGAACTAATAAAATTCATCGGCCTATGATTTTTGCATCACGTGATCTAAGACCAAAACGACCTTAAAAACGTCTGCAGGGAGTATAGACATATTAAATTCTGCAAGCAGAATACTGCAATGCTGATCGTACTACGTGAAAATTAACTCTGCAAGACATCAACACGACACCGAAAGAACTCAAAACAGGGCGGGATTGTAGCCATAGTCTACATAGTCTATGGCTACAATCCCGCTCTGTTTTGAGTTCTTTCGGTGTCGTGTTGATGTCTTGCAGAGTTAATTTTCACGTAGTACGATCAGCATTGCAGTATTCTGCTTGCAGAATTTAATATGTCTACTTTTCATTTTTGCTGATCAGGTCTTTATAGATCCTACGTTTTCCGGCATATTCGTTTGCGGTCCTTTGTAGTCCTTTGTGGTTAATGTTTGCAGGGACTATGCCGGACCCGCGCGCGAGACACGGAATGGTTGATAAAATAAGAGAGATTGGGCAAAGACGTTTTTGAGAGAAGCAAGTCAATCGGAAGTGATAAGTTTTCCTTTTTAATATGTCTTGACGCAACCAAAATTGTATTACTGTCTTTACTCTTATGTAGACGATTTGCCCTAAAATTCGGGCAAAACCGCTTCCCAGGAAAAGAAGTCCCGACTTCAGCTTGACTTATGTCGCTCAAAAAGTCTTCGCTTAAGCTCTCTATTAAGGAACAAATTGAAACCCCGCAGCATATGGGTTGAAATAAGGCGTTTGAACTCAGACTCGAATCTTTGCCAAAAAAGACTTCGCCGTTTTGGAATACATTTTATTTTGTTGATACGCTTATAATTTGTAGTTTAAATCAGTAGGGCACTTGTGTAAACTGCAAAATTATCGTTATTCATAGGTGGAAATGTTAATTAAGTTACCAACCTTCCTGCTGGGTCTTTTGGCCAGTAGGAAAAGAGAATAACTTATAGTGTAAAAGGTTACTGAGTAGGCATTTTGACGTATATAATCTGAAGGATAGTTTCAACAGGTAAGGGTTTGTCGGCTCGATTTTGTAAAGCCATGGAAGCTTATTCTTAACACAAAAATCGACCTAATATACCATGCGGGTAGAATTGCTAACGAAAGATTGCCCACTAAACAAAAACTGTGAAGTGGACGTAGATGAGTTTCGTAAATGACAACCAGCCTTTTTGAAACATGAAATGTCATGGGCTATTAGCTTCTCAAGGGGTGTGGTGGAGGGGAAAAGTGGTTGGGTTCAGTGATGCAGACGTATGGGTAAGAATTCTTTTCCAAGACCACTATATAATTGTGATCGAATTTGATTCATAATTTTCTCTTTTTGTTTTAAAATCAGTTAATTATAAATTTTTTCATAAGTAGGTTGAGTATGATCGTCGGGGTGAACGTAGTCCTGAATACGACCGTTGTTGTTGACAGTGACTGACGTTTCGTGCTGTAGTCATCTTCAGAGTCAAAGACTTCAATTTGACGCCTACTTATGAATTGACTCCAGGGTTTAAACCTTTCACAGTTTTATAAATTTTTTGGTTTTAAGTAATGATAAAAGTACATAAAGAGACGCTTCGCTTTTAGCTATAGCCTTGGCCATGGCTAAATCTATATATTATCAATTCTAAACGTTTTTAATGTATAAGTGGTATGACAACAATGTATTCAAGTTAAGAGTTTTAATACAGAAAAAATTGATCCTTTACATGGTAGTCTTGAGGTGAAATTCATTAGTTTACTTTTTTTGAATTTATATTTTCTTTAAAATGTTGTAATTTTTATCTTCTCTGAGAATATAAAAATAATTTTCCGGGAAAACGCCACTAAGATGCTCGAATTATAATGCTTTAATGGTTTTGCTTCAATATAATACTCGAAAAACTGTACAGTATAAGACTAACTAAGCCAACCAATTTTGCCAATCCTTGCTTTTGAAACTCACTAATAAGCACATCATCCTATCGATATCTTAGCGAGATGTCGCATCTTTTTTATGATCCCACGAAAAGGGGTTAATTCGTCCTACAATATACTATTAGTGTTTGTTATATAGCGAAACTGTTTCCCGCCAAAATCTCTGAGCGGACAACATTGCAAAATCTATGACGTCAGAGGATAACAGTGCACTGTTACCCGCAAATGTTGACCGCTTGCGAGATTTATTTACATAATTTTGTACAAGAAGAAGTTTTTCTTCGTAAGCTATATGACAAATCACTTATAGACTGGTCCCTCGGGAAACAGTTGATTTTGTTTTTCTCGAATTGAGATTATCGAGAAACAAAATTAAGACAGAATCTATTATTATGCCAGGAGCCGATTACGCTCCTGATTATACACTATTAATGTTTATAATCTTAAAGGGGGTCGACAACATATATTTCTATCATCTTTAGACCACGAATGGCTTTGATATGGCATTATCCCTTTCATCGATGATAAACTCTTCTATTTCAGCCTCCATACTGGCTCTGTAACCTTCTCTGTGGTAGACTGAAAACTGTGTGGGAGTAAAACACAGATTTATTGTTGAATGCTGTGGAAAAGCGCCGCAGATCGCCTCAGACAAACCACGACATGCGTTCCCATGGCAACATTCGCTCCAACAGAACGTCAGTCGATCAGTTTCCGCCGCGGATAACTTTGGTCCAGGCCCCCAGAGAGTCCTTTCGAGATCCTTATCAAGGACTTCATTCCAGGCCTCCCATCGATTGGTAGTTATACCTTTATCAGGATGTCTGGGCTTGATGTACAGAATTTCACCCTCACCAACTTTAGTCTTTCCATCTCCATTGGCATTTTTGTCATAATAATGCACTTTAAACCTACATGTGTGTTACAAATATAAAGCAGAATGATCTAAGTGGCTGGTCTTCACGAGTTAGCGAAGGCGTCGTTATCGGGAGCGTGGCGAGTTATACGGTGTATATGTCATGATCGTAATCGACGAACCCGTCGCTTATGATCTCAGTAATGAACACTAGGTTGACGGAGTCGCAGTTGTTGCTGCCAGAGAAAACTAAAGTAGTCTTAAAGAGGTAAGAAACTTGTGTTTGGAACTTGTGTTTGGCAAACCAGAAGAGATATTTTTTCCAAGGTAAGGGCCGGGGGCGCTCACTAAATAGAGTGAAATGCCAAATTTTTCTTGCCTGAAAGGGTAATGTCTTAGAAACTAAAAAACTGACCTGTAGCTTCTAGGCTGTGATCCTGCACTTCTTTCCACGAAGTTGTCCTGTATATCCTCCGCAATATCCCGTCCATCCAACCCTGAAAATGAGCAACCCAGCTTTTCTCGGGCCAAATCTAAAGCTTTCATAAGTGAACTTCCATAGTCTTCGTCCAAAATGGTGCGACTTCCGCCCACCGACACAATTTTCTTCAGTCTTAATTTCAACAGCGGAAGAATACCCAAGTTTTCAATGTGGCCGCCGTCACTAAGAGATAGGACCGCTGGGGGACTGGGACCTTGGTTGACAATTTTCATCGCATTGCGGATGAAGTTGACGTAATAAACGTTGACAGTCAGCCACCTTTGAAAAGAATTGCAGGCAATTACTGAGTAAGTAACCAACAAGTAAACGTGATGTCACATTCAGCTGCTGAACTTAGCTTTTACCTTAGTTATTTTCAGGAGCCCATAACCTGGAGCGAGCAACTTCCATGCGTTCGTGTCACGGCGTTTTCAAGGGCCAGTTTATTTTTAGAACGGTTTTGGTGCAACTTTTGACAAGAGAGTATCTTTTAAAATCCACAAACCAGTCAGCAAAACCTACAGACCTAAAATGATATTTTCTGCCTTTTAATAACATTTAGTTTTCCTTTTTGATATCTTATACTTGGAATGCGCTCATAGACATGGTGGAGATTCTATTTTTGCGGGAAAAAGTGCTCTAAAATGTGTCTAGAAATAAACTGGTCCGTTTAAATGCCGTGTCATAGGCCTAGTATGGGAGTTGCTCGCTACGGGTTATTATTTCCTGTTATTTCGTGATAGAGACGTTTCCAAGCAATTATAGACATATTTATTCAGAAGCATAATTATGACCTTGAAGCGTCCAGGCGCGGATCCACACCGGTTTCCACCGTTTTTAAATTTTACGAAAATCGGTCAGTTTTTTCATAGTAAAGAACCGTGCGGGGGTCTTGTAGCTGTCCAATCAGAAGCACGGAATTTTTTCGCCTAAATATGGAATCAGAAGAATTGAAGGCATCCCCGTCTAAAAAGTAGCCAACAACGAATTCTTTAAGTCCTTAATAGTTCTCCAAGTACATCCGCAACTCAATAGTACACGTTGAGACGTTTGAATTTGTTATATAACATAATCAACGAACAAAGACATTAACATTTACTGGTAGCGGAGGCCACGAGTGTGTTGTCATTTGCGCGCGCTAAGCTGCCAATGACGTGTACGAATAATTTTCTTTGCGGGTTATATGCTTCTCATTTATTACAATAAATCTTTGGAATCCTGTTTCGTTTTACTCAGCAAACTCTTGGAACTGTTGAGCCCTTTCTCAACATGACACATTGTTTAATCTCTGTGGGAGAGTTGACTTAAGTGTAGCTTTTAGACAGTAAGGTATGTTTTCTCGGTGCAAATCAAAAAGGACGACTTTGCCTTGTTATCGATGGGACCTCACTGATAATAATTTTAGCTTTAGCTAATATATTCAATATATTGGGTCTGGGTGTTGAGTACCCAACATACTTGTTCAGAGACTATACGTACTGAAAATTTTCCAAGAAAAAGACACGTGTTAAGAAAGTCTACGAGGACGTAAGGTTGTTAAGAACGGAGAAACATTTTGAATATATGCATATCTCAAAGACTGTTCTCTGTCGGGCCCGAAGTGCAAACACATGCTCCTCGATCTCCACAATTCTTCAAACCATGCTCAGCTACATTCAGTAATAGGCCATTTTACAGTTGTGGGCTTGGTGACCAAGACTTTGAGTGAATGTGAGGCTGAGGTTGACCTTGTTTTTATACAAACCTCCTTTCTTTTCTAATGGATATTTTGCTTAAAAAAATACTAGTTAGCATAACAACAATATGATTTACATAATAAAGCAAGAAGGGTTGTATCAAAGCAACGTCAACTCCAGCCTCGTTTCCAACTGTAACTGTAAAATGGGCAATTGTTGACTACAAAATGTTTATAATTTCGCGAACTAACTCTTCCAAGGTTAGCTGACACAAGAACATGTTAGTATATTTTTACCTAGCAATTCGTTCCAGTCTTCCACGTTTTCTACTTCCGGTTGGTACCAGGGCCACGAGGGTCAACAGGAACAAAAAGGAGAAAAATATCAGCAGTCCAATGGTCAAATATTTATCATTGTCAGTAATAAGATAAATAACAAAAAACACAACCAGAGGAAGACCACGGGCAAACTCTATTAATATTGGAAGGACCTGTAAGGAAAAGTAGGTAAAATTTGCTAAGTGCAGTCGGCTTTTTAAGGAAAATGTTTAAGCTACCGTGTGTACAGCAATACCTAGTAACGCACCAATCAAGAAAAACCTGCAAAAGGCTTCCGAGTTTTCTAATTGGTGCTGATATTTCTTATAATGTACTAATAAAAGAGCCAGTAAAAGCTAAATTCATGGCCACTTTCACTTGATTAATCCCTCAAGTCCCAAGTTAAAGAGTGGCCAATACCAATATCAATTGCATGTACATTTCTTTGCCGTTGTTTTGCACGCGACTACAGGGTGAAACTTCCTATACTAGTTACCCGTTTTTTGGAGGAATTTCCTATTCGCTTTTTTTTACTGCCGCCCATTTTCACCTCGGTGGCCGCAAGCATTTCTCATTTAAGTCACCGCCGCAAGGAAATGTTTTTTCATGCTTTTCTTCCAACGAAATTCGTCTCCTTTGTTTTTCATCTCTTGTTCTAGCTCTTTCTTTGTTATCTACGTCAGTGTACACAACAAAATTTAGTCGAAAAAAAGTCTTGGCTTTGACAGCTGTCAATTCATCTTCATATGGATGGCGTATATATTTGACAGGCTTTTGCCATTTTCCATGTCCATAGTAAATGTGACATTTGGGGGTGAGCAAACGTACGGACGTACGGACGGTCACGTGATGCCCAAAATCTCTAGCATCTATAAGTTACAATTTCTTCTTACCCATGGTGCTCAGCTGTGCGAGCGAGAGAGCTTTGCTATGACTTGCCACTTTGTGTTTGTATTTAAGCGAACTGAAATATATACCTGCCAATTCTCACGCATTATGCGTGAGTCTCACGCCTGTGGACTAAAGACATCGATCTCACGCATCAAGGACAATTTCTCAAGCCTGACTCACAAATCCGGACAAATTATCCTTTAACACATGAGCGAATAACATTCAATCCAAAAACGCGTTAATTGACGACTTTGGGTCCTTTTTCGTGGTCTAACGAAATCAAAGCACGCTCAAACGTCTTCGGACATCCGCGGACATTTTCGGCAACGTTCGGAAGTCTTCAGAAAATTGTCAGAAATCTTCGGAAGTCGCCGGGACGTTTCCGGAAATCCCGGTCTTGACAAAGTGAAAATCTCACGCATTTGACCCAGAAAAAGTTGGCAGGTATAAAAATAAGTATTTAAAGCTATTGTTAACCTGGATGCAGAAGTGTCTCTCCTTTTCATGTCTTTGGTCAGACACGATAGATGTACCGCAAGAGAGTCCAAGCATAACCTTGAGATCTTTAAACGGTCCATCGTCAGCCTGCATTGTTCCCATCTGATGGTTGATCGCAGCCGCAGAAGTAGCCGTGGCATCAGATAGGTAGATATCCATTGGAGTCAATTTTCCATGCAGTTCTTCCTCCCTCTTTGGACGGTCAAGACGCTCAATGTTATGCGGACTCATAGTAAGGATTTCAGAATCTTGTTCTCTCGGGGAGGTAGTGCGTCGCCACTGGTTGCTTGTAACGCAACCTACGTACACAGGTGTCAGCTCATCGAGGTCATCCAAGGTCAGCACTTTGCTGTATCTGATTCCTTTCATTTCGGGTTGACAGCAGGTCGGACAATAAAGAAAAAAACTTCGCCAGCTGATTCCGGCGCATCCACATGCACCAACTGTCTTTGGATAAAAAAATCGTCTCTGGAGTGTCCACCTGCGTTGAAAGAAAGTAAGGTATGAGCCCGGTTTGCCGTCGTTGCACGTAGTACAATGTGAAACGTCTTAATTTCACGTTTTATGGAGGAAGTGAACATATAAGACAACGATTCTCTTTTTGTTTTTCTGAACTTGGATAAGAATCTTTTACAATTAATTAAACTCCTGAAAAAATGGCCAACATTTGACAAATTAAATGAGTTGGAAATAAGGGCCATGAAGTTTAAAACAGCGCGAATCACTATTTTGGGTGACGTTCTCGATGTCGTTGCCATCGTCGTCAGGGCCGTAGCTAGGTTTTTTGTAACGGGGGGGCATTATCGCGAGTGCCGAAGGCACGAGCCTTGTAGGGGAGGGGTCTGGGGGTATCCTCCCCCAGAAAATTGTCAAATTTGGAGGCTCCGAAATGCTCTTTTCAGCACTTGTCTCCGAAAAATCGACCTCGAATATGAAAATGGCAAACAATTGCAAGTCACTATAATCAAAATAACTGAGTCTAAAGAAAACAAATCCATCCAAAGACTTGATGTGTCCGGCTCAACAGGTCCGGGGGGGAGGGGGGCAGTTTCCCCCCTTGCACCCCCCGCTAGCTACGGCTCTGGTCGTTGATTAAGCTCACGAATAACCCCCGGTAAAGAGAGCAAAAATGAAAACCGTGATCAAGGTTTGTAAAACTTTCAGTTTTCAGCTTACCGTAAATATATGTGAACAAGGCGTTGCTGAACGGTGAAAATCCAAGGAGAGATCCAATGCAGTATAGCTGCTACACCCAGGAGAATATCGAAAGTGATTACTTTGTACTCAAAACCAAAGACACTGTCGTTGTAAACTCTCCAGTAAATCACAAACGAGGTCAGATATGTGAAGCTCATGATTGTAGTGGTTGAACGGATGGGAGGAAATGAAATCCAAAGAAAGAACAAAGGGATAAATACAAGAAACTTTATCCACGTCGGAGCTCGGTGAAAAAATTCTTTAATGAACCAAGGGAAAAACACCAACGCAAAAAACCCAGCAGAAAAATGAAAAAAGAGACTGAAAAGAGGTTTCCATTTTGAGAAAATTCCCCTGAGAATAAAGGATGCACATGCGCAACCCACGGGCGCCAAAAACAGAGCAAGTAGCTCGTAATCTGTCCCAGATGACTCGCGTTCTTTTTTGCACTGTTGTAAGGTTAGGTTTGGATTTTTTCGTACATCTTCGTCACAGTAAGGAGTTTCCTTTCTAAGGGTGTCTCCAAATAGCCAATCTACAACAAAGGCCAACGGATACGAAAATGCCATCCACATAAATGCCGGTACAAGAATAGACACAAATAGTATAACCAAGGTTATTGCTAAAAAATCTAGAATTGCCTGGAACAGCGGTTTATTACAGTGGCATATGAACCCGGCACTTTGCCTCATGTGGTTAAAGAATTCCTCGTGCCATTCTTTGTCGTCCTTCTTGCCATTCCTGTATTTCCAGTCCAGATAGGCCGTGCCTGTGTAACCGCCTCCCGACACACAACTGAGGTAGTCAATCTTCACATTCTTCTGCAGCAATCTTCGTAAGACTCCAGAACACAAGGCCGCTGACCTTATCCCACCACCAGAAAATGCTAAGCCAGTTTTCGCCATGAACAAACTGCAAAAATGTTTAAAAATAGATATTCCATGAGATCAAATTTGAGTAAATCCAAAGGCACCCCTTTCAGGATCTCGCAAGACAGTGTTGGATTCTGGATTCCAGTTTATACTGGCTCCGGATCTCTTGAGCTGAATTCCGGATTTTCACTTTCGGATTTCCTAATTAGTAATAATAATGATATAATAATAATAATAACAATAATAATAAAAATAATTTTTTTTAGTTAAATAATAATTTTATTTAACTTTAAAAATATGCACATAATTTACAGAAATATTAGCGGAGCTCCACGCGCGCGCGAAGCGCGCGCGCGTGGGCGGAGCCCCATTGCTAAGGAAATCTACCCATCCCAGAAAATTTGGTAATCACGTGACCGACCGACCGACCGACCGACCGACCGACCGTCCGTCCGCACCACAGGAATACCAATGTTTACTCACACTTTCTAGCTACTTTGGGAGCCCAGGAGAAAGCTGATTGCACATCAATGTTGTCATCAATTGACAGCTGTCAAAACAGGGTATCCGCTGACCACTATCACCTAACCGAATCGCGGGCTCAGGTGTCGACCCATCGAGGTCGAGTATTTTTTTGAAGTTATCCGCTGACAATTTACTCGTTTTCGTTTACTTTTGTTTTAAATTCATATCAAATACGTTGTGTTTAAATCAGTATCGCCCCGCACTATTACGATTTTGATTTCAAACTGACTTCAGACGCAAAAATTCAGCAAGTGTTTTTAAAATACAGGCGGGGAAGACCTTATATTACCATGGGCACGTGTTGGCCACGCTCCACGTCCAATTTTTATGCTCTGATTGGTTAAAATTTGACAGGTGAGTTCATGCGTAAAATTTATGCAGCATCTTGAAAGTTGTTTACTTTGACAGCTGAAGCTGACAGAGTTTTCAGTCAACTTGTGATGTTTTTAACTGTCTTTTTCCACTGGATGTACAAAATGAAATACAGCTGCTATCAAGAGTGTTCTCTTATTCATGGCTGGTTTGTTTATTGGGTTTTTGGTTGAAAAATGCGTCGCTTGTCAAAGCCGATAATCCGATTTCGGATGGCATCGTTTTTGTTTTTCACCTTGCTGGATGCGTACGAGAATTATAAAGGCTCAAGCGATCCTTGCCTTACTTGATAGCTTTCAGGAGCTGCATCTCGAAATATGGTAAGCCTGAGTAATTATTGTATCTAAATCTAATTTCATGAAGTCCAGCGGCGCAGTTTATGAAGCTAGTTTATGCACGTTTGTAATAAGATTTGACTGAGACACTGATCTGGCCTCGTATGAGGTTTGATATAAGCTTAACCTTACAGAACTTTAAAAAGCCTTTAGTCGATATTAATTCACCTTTAATAGAAAGAAAAAACTTTCCGAAGAATATTTAGTTATAATTTTGGCTGTAGAAAGAAAGCTTTGAACGATTTTCTTTTCGTGAGTTCATCTTTAAAAACAGCCAACACCGGGAAACCGGCGGCTTAAAACATAAACTTTAAGCTTACTAGTAAAGACTTGAGGATTCTTAGACACACTTAAAAGTACTCATTTGTTTTCGTGAATGAAAATTGTTGTCTCTGTAAATGTTCTATCGAATTATTTTTCTTTACTGATTTTTGGTAGTCTCAAAAGTGTAATTTTCATCGCTTTGCCGTTTGTTTTCAGGCGTTTATAAACATTGCTCGCAGGAGTACTCAAAATGCCAAGCGTATCAAACGCTTTTTAAGATTACACATCGTTATAAAACCGTTAACAAAAAATAGACTCAGTAAATTCTTTATCACGTTGAAACGTAACTCTTTTAAAATTTCTTCGCAAATTTGGCGCTTGTCAAAAGTTAGAACCGGCTGGCCGTATAGGTGATTTTGGAAATTTTTTGAACGGTTTCGCTAATTAAAAGTCCACGCGTGCCTCTATATGGTCCTGAATATTCAATGAATGCAATTTGTCTTGAAAAATTGTGAAATACTGCATTTTGTACGAGGTCTGTATGATAAAAACAGCGCCTCGTAGAACTCTTTCTCCTCAGATGTGGTGTATAAAATAAAAAATAAAAGATTGGTTTGCACGCACCCAGATTTATTGGCAAGAAGACTATTTTTTGGGTGTACATATAAGGCTATATCAAGTCGATACAAAATTTGTTTCACTCCAAAATCACTTAGCTTTTCCCTCAAAAGTGAATGTGCCCTTACGTTAACTGATTTGTGGAATACAAAATTATTGTTTGATTTAAGTTATGAATTTATCAATGGGAGCTTCGCTTTTAGCTGTGGCTAAATATATATATTTGAAGTAATAATTAACCATTAATATAACATTAAGAATTATATAAATCATAAAAAATACAATCACTGTGTCAATAACGATTTCCCAAATACAATCCTTGAGGCTCAGATGCGATAAATAACTCTTGCAGGCGGTCCAGAGTTTTAAATTAGGTCATTACAAAAGAGAATCATCCGTCTCTGATATTAAAAAGAAAC